CACACACACACACACACACACACACACACACACACACACACACACACTTGTACAAACTGACACTCACATCCTGTCCTACAATGTAAGGCACCTGCACACTGGGTGATGGCTCAAAAGACAACTGGAAAAAAATGAAAAGTGATCTAAGTCAGGGTAAGAAAAGAATGTGCATGGTTCTTAAAAGAAAAAAAAAGAAAGAAAGAAAAAAGAAAAGAAAAGAAAAAAAATCAAGGAAAAGGGGGCAGTAAGGACAAAGGTGACCTGGGAAGAGCTCAGCTGTTGTGGCATTGGGCAACCATGGTGGCCACTCACTACCAGCCCAGCTGAACCCTGATTTTAGAGGTCAGGATGGTGCTTGGTAAAGCCCAGGAGGTAGTGGTGCTCTCCGGGGAAGGAAGCAACAGAGGACTCTCCCCTACACAGCCAGCCAGGCAGTCTAATTCAAGCCTCGGTCCCATGTGCTCCCCTGTAGCTGTGCCCTCAGAGATGCCTTCCCTGTGCCTGCATGCATGCAAGAGGCAGGAAGCCACTCTTACCCATGCAGAGGCAGGGTAATGGACACTATGAAGGCTAAATAGCAACAAGGCATGAGCAAGAATAGGAGTCCAAGGAGGAAACAGCCAAGTGTACTTAGCTAACACAGGCTCTTCAAAAACCAGGAGAAAGAGTACCCTCTTTAACTAATAGGCTGACAGCATGCTAGGCCGTATCTGTTCCCTGGGTCCTACGGGTAGGTGAGGTCCTGCTCCTGGATCACACAATCTACCAGACTCTAAAGGAAACCTCTGTTCCCCTCCAGCACCCCTGCCGTGGCATGATGGCAGGCTTCTCATCTACACCCCACCCCAGTTTAAGAAAACCACTCTTTTCGTTAGGTTTGAGAATAGACTCTTTCCCCCTCTCAGTTTGGATGGCCTGGCATACAGGTGGTCACTGTCGACAGAAGTGGGGTTATTTATGTGGGCATTTTGGGTCGCCTTTGTGAAAGTCAACAGAAATGGCAAAATTATTGTCGCCTTTGGGACATGAGTGTCAGAGGTGGTGCTGTGAGCAGACTATGAAGGCAGGTGCCTATTTTTCCCCACTAGATACCAAGGGCCATTCTTCAGGGACATCCTAGCCACAGAGAGAGGTACAACCAAGTCCCTTGGAAGCACTCTGCAAGAAATGCCAAAATATCCCAGGCCATCTGTATTACGGAACAAAGCACTGTCAGCTTATCATCAAAGAAGTGTCCTAATACTGGCAAAGAATGCCAACACAGGCAGGTTCAGGTGAAATGGGCTGTTCCTGTGAGCCAGACAGTGGTGACATTCTTTCCTGACAAGGTCCACACTTTATGGAAGTGTTCAGCTACAGTATCAACAGGGGCAAGTGAGGCTGGACGGGAGACTGCCACACACCCTGCAATGTTTTTCAGTCTGCCTCATTGGGCATGTGGCCAAAACATCTAAACCTGTGGAGATACTCCCAGTAGGGTCTGCCGGCCCACTTCTCCACATCCAAGCTGTGGCCCAGGCTGTATTCTCCATGGCACCTCCAGCCTTACCCAGATTCTGGACAAGATTCTGTATCTGATATGACCTAGTTGGTGTTACCTAGGTGCTGGTATGACAGCACCCCTCTGGACACTTGCTTGGCTTGGTGTCTAGTTCACTGGATAAACTGCTAGGAAGTGGAACACTGGAGCAGAGCCCAGTGGGGGCACTCTGTAACTACAGCAGCTTGCATACTTCTTACCATACAACTTGCCTCCTGTAAGGCAGGAACAACAGAAATCCTGCCACCAGAATCATACCTGACCTTAACTCTAGGGCCATACAAGGGACTCAGAAAGGGAGAACACACAGAAGCTAAGAGCCCTGTACCCACAGTAAGCTGGTGACCACTCCAGCAGAGGAGTGAAGAGGCTCCCGGTGACAGATTCTGTAACAATTTGGGTAGGCAGAAAGAGCCAGATACACCCAATCCCTCAGTCACAGCAGGAGCTGTGTTTACCAGGTGGGGAAGGGTAGAAGCAGGCATGCGATTCCTGTAAATGCTAGGAGGGGCTGGTGATGCCAAATCTGGCCACTGGTCTGGGCAGAAGCTGGGCTACCGTGCAAGGAGCTGGGTCTCCATGGCCACAGCAGCACATGGAAGCCACCACAGAGCACAGAGAGCAAGCAAAGCGACCCTGAATTCCTGTTTGTTGGTTATTTGTTTTGTTCTTTGTGTGGTTGGGTTCTTTTTTTCTTCTTTTCTTTTAAATAAAAAAAGCTGCAAGATTTCTGCCATCTATGTTCTCCTTGAGATGGCTGGCAGATGGTCTGGAAGGGTCCTGGGTGGCGGCCGAGCCGCACTGGGGCGGGTGTCCTGGCAGCAATAGGCAGCCCGGCCGCAGGCCACGTCACTGCACAGCAGCATCTGGATGACTCTGGTACCGCTGCCTCCAAACCTCCTGGATCTTTCTGCACCACTTGTGAGCATTCCCGCTTGGATCCATCAGGTAATACGTCCTGTTAGGCTGCAAAGACAGAGCATCTGATGTCCTTCATGGAGTCCCGTTCCCACCCAGCCTGTCTTTGTGTCAATGCTGCCAGCACCTTTCAAAGCCTGTGCGCACAGTGGGCTTCTTCACTCTGCAAGTGCAGAAACTAAGTATGTGGGCAGGTGACCTACTGAAAGTAAAAATTAGAGCATCTCCTGGACCAGTTCAGGCCTAAGTTGTTCATATACAGGTCTCTGAGACACAGGAAGCTGACCTGACCCTAGATGCTTCCTTGCCCAAGGCAAGGGACATTCAACAAAGATGCAGAAGCCTGTGATGACACTACAATCAGAGGCCTTATAGGGACAGACTCACCGTGTGGACAAAGAAAGTTTTAAAATTCTTGGCCTCTGGTCGGAGTTCTTGTGACCATGGAATTTCACCTTTCAAGACTTTGTTGACAGGATCGACATAATATAAATGTGGCCCTTCTGTGAGTAATAACTGCCGTCGTCTTGCAAATAAACCCTGGTACAAATAAAATAAACAAACTGTTTGATCACACAAACTGTTTGATCAAGGCACAGGACTAACTTGTAAGTAGCTCAGGGCACAGTGACTACCAGCCTCCTTTCCATTCACCTGAGACACCACCTCCTCAGCCTAGGCCAGCATCTAATATCAGGAAAAAAGTAAGCACAGGCCTCTGCTGTTCAGCTCACAATATACCCATCATCAATGCTAGCTTCCAGTCCCTGACTCCTCAGCTCCTCTAAGGCACAGAGTCTGGCCCTTGGTAGGCCAGGCCTCAGCCTACCTTCATGGAGATTCTCACTTCCAGAGTATACACAGCCAGGAAGGGTGTTCAGAAGTCCCTGTTAACAGAGTCTAATATATTTGGCACTGTATCATGCCCATGAAATGTAATAAATAACAACTCAAATCTTCTAATGAAAGGCTACTTGCTGGACTCTGAGAAATGATATATCCTTCTTAGCACAGTGGGTTGAGCATAGTACAATCATGAGAAAGCATACCCTGTGGCCAGAACATAAATCTGGCTTTCCACATGCCCATATTGTTTTCCTGAGAGCCAGAGTGTTCCCGGTTATAAAATCTAGAGATGATCTCAAAAGATCATGCCAGGATGAAAAAATGTCATATCCAACAAGGCATGACAGAACCCCAGGATAAAGAACCGGTCTGAGCTAGAAGCAGTAGGAGCCATAGCATGAAGAGGATCAGGGACTTACCTTTCGCTTATCCACTGGACCCATTTTTAATATTAGATTATTTTCTACAAACTGGTGCCTAAAAAAGACAGAAAGAAGAATAAGACACAGCAGTTCTCCAAACTCTTCCCTGTGGGCATTCCACAAGGGCTCTGTAAAATTTATATCAATTAAGTCCTATCCCCACCCTACCCCACCCCACAGACACAGCCTCTCTTCAGATCCAGGAGACAGCCCCAATGCAGTGATGTACAGATTTTATCTGTACACATGGGCCAGAATCTACATTCCTGAGGTTATCTTCCAGTTGAAGATATCTGCATGGTAGAGGAAGATTGGGAGATAGTGCCACAGAAACAAGATAGTACACATCAGCAGCAGCATAATTATCATCTGCTTATCAAAAAAGCTACAGTGGGGCTGGCTGTGGTAGCAACGACTTTAATCCCAGCACTTGGGAGGAAGATCAGGAGTTTAACGTCATTCTTGCCTACAAATCAAGCTCCAGGCCAGCCTGGAACACTGCCTCAGAAAGTAAAAAAAAACAAAATATGCTAGATGAAAAATATCACAGACATTTGGATGTCACTGTAAATTAATATTAGAATCTGTAAAGTACTTCTCAAGCCAGGACACCTAAGAGTGCCTAGAATCCAGAGTTCTATAGAATCAGAAATCCTTAAAAGATAGTGTCAGATGCACCTACTCTTACTACAATTTGATATGCCAAGGATGATTGGTGTCTATGGGAGCCTCCCCTCTTCTGAAGAGAAAGGGAAGAGGACGAGCAGATGGATGAGGAGGAAAGGACTAGTTGCAGAAAAGGGAGGGGAACTTGTGGTTGGCACATAAAATTTATTTATTAATTACAAATAAAAATTATATAATTATAAATAAAAATTAATTAATTAATAAGGGGGGAAGGTATAGCTTCAGAATCTCTCTTCTGGTCTGAGGGGTACTGCTTGGTGATATAGGGCATATTTGACATGCACCAAGCACTAAGATCCCGGAGTTTCAATTGCCAAGATAGTGATGGGTGTAAGGGGTGTCTTTTCCAACATTTCTATCATATTGGTAAAACACATTTATTCATATATGTCAAGAATTCTGTCTGAGACTCTGCTGGTAAAGGCACCTGATTTCCAATTTTAATCCCTGGGAACCACATGGTAGAAGGAAAAAACTAATTTCTATAAGGTTATCCTATGACTTTTACACATACTGTGACATACATACGTGGAAGGAGAAAACTAACTCCTCCAAGTGGTCCTCTCACTTCCACATGTACAAACAATAAATAATGTTAAAAATTTTGAAACAATGTTGGTTTGACTTACTACACATGAGCAGCATGAATACTTTACTTTTGTCGCCTCAAGAGTCAGAGGTGGTTTTAACATCTAAGGATGTTAAAGCTATTGGGTGAAAGCTACCCCTAAAAGTACTTGCTCATGGTATTTCTTTGCGATATTAGGATAGAAGTCATGGCCTTGTGTGCCTAGGCAAGCACTCCACCCCCAAGTTACAGCTTAGCCCTATCTGTTCCTGATCTGTGGTTCTACTATAGAAACATCACATTCTCTATCTGAAAATGGCCTAAGTCAAAGCATCTAGATCCCTGATGCCTTCCTGAGGAACCAGAACACTTACGAGACGCTTCTGGGCCCCACTACCCTCACAGAACCAACCACACTACCTTTCCAAGGCAGGATTCAGAGGCACAGGAAACAGGCCAAGGAAGCTCCTTGGTCTCTTAGTTTCAAATCACATGCACTATAGTACTGTGTAGACTTCGAAAACAACTAAGATTGTGAACAAGGTCAGGAGAGCGACCCATGAGGGAGATTGAAATACAAATTCTCCAAGGGGCATTTACTAACCAAACACACAACCTTAAACACAGGGAGGGGAAAAAAAGCTGGTTCTGAAAAGAACATTAGTAAGGAAGGTGTATTGGTACACAGGAGGTACAAAGTACAAAGACATGAAGATAACACCACAGGGCCTGCAGAAAGCCCACCTAACAAACAGACCCTAAATATGTTAACATAAGCAAAGAGTTGCAAGTAAATAAAGACTTACTAGGTAAATCACTGGAGGGGGAGCAAACAACACAGGAAGCAAAGGGTCAGTCAGCAGCCAGGGAAGCAAACACGGCCCTAAAGACAAGCACCAGCTCCGCCACCTGTTCACTCTGCAGAGTATACACTCACAGCCCCTATGTCCTCTAAGTCTTCAGGTGGGAGTGTGAGAAAGGTCACTTCTTGCCTACAGTCTAGGAGTCAGGCCAAGCAGCGCCATTAGCAACAGCACCACCACAATCCACTGCCTAACCAGGCAGCTTACAACACGCTGCTGCTTCTTTATCTGCCTACATTCCTTCTCTCTTTCTTTTCTTCTTTTCTAGCACCAACCCGTACCCCCGGCTCTATCTACTTTGAAAAGATTACTTCAGAGATTCATCTGGACTTTTTCTGTGTATGAATATTCTGCCTGCTTGTGTGTCTGTACTGATCATGTACATGCAGTGCCTGCTGAGGCCAGAAGAGGAGGATGGATCCCCTGCAACTAGTTACAGATAATTGTAAGCTGTCATGTGGGTACTGGCAATCAAACCCTGGGCCTCTTAAGGGCTGAGCCATCTCTCCAATCATGTTGACTTTTTACTTTACAGTCAATTCCTACTCCTGAAGAAACTCCAGACACACCTTAAGCACTTTTCTCCCTGGCACACTGACAGTATTATTTGAAGATTCATAGAAAGAACTACACCTGCGGCAGAGCCATAGATAACTATTCAGTTCATGGACAGGTTCAAATTCACATCTAGCAGTGTGGCTCTCCCAAGACAGACAAACTCTGTCATCGATGCCAAAGAGATGATGATAGAGGCTAAGGAGTCCATGTCTCACCCATGGTCAACTCACAATGATAGCAATGCAAGACTCCTAAGCCTGGTTCTCTCCTCTACTATCCACACAGAACACACTAAGATCTAAGGTCCCCAGCATAGCCTCAGTGTCCTGGAGAACACAGTGCAGCTGTAGAAGTAGGAGTGGCTCCTGACGTCCCAGACATCTCTATAGATCTGGCAGTACTTGGGTAAGGAGACCTGTGATGCTGGACAGTGGGCCCTAATCTGTTTCCAGTGTCAACAATCTAGCCGTCAGGCATCATAATGTTGCTTTTTTTGTTTTGTTTCGAGACAGGGCAGCCTTGGCTGCCCTGGACTCACTCTATAGACCAGACTGGTCTCGAACTCACAGAGTTCTACCTGCTTCTGCTTTCTGAGTGCTGGGATTACAGGCCTGTGGCAACACATCCTGGCCATGTTATCTTATTTTACTTTGTTTTTAAGATTTTTTTTGTCTGCATGTATGTATGTACACGATGTGTGTGCTTGACGCCAATGAAAATCAGAAGAAGTATCGAATCCCCTGGAGTTAGACTATTTGCTAAGAATGAACCTGTGCCCTTTGCAAGAGCAGCCAAGTGCTCTTAGCCATTGAGCCATCTCTTCAGCCCCAGCCTCATGAACTACCCTCTATTCCCACACTCAGGGAAGCCCCATTAGCATTACTCTCTCTAGACTGTAACTACCAATGCAGAGTCCAGGAAATGTGAACTCATGCTTTCAAGTATGTACTCATCTTTGGTTTTTTGTTTTGCTTTGCCTTAGGACCTTCACAGACTTGGCTGCCCTCAACCCTCTTGTATTTGCTTTGTATATACTGAGATTACAGGGATATATCACCATTCCCAGCTGCAGTTTATTTAATTAAAAACAACAAACTAGGGGGGCTACAAAGTGAATAAAATGTAATCAATTAAGAATTTTTAAAAAAACACAACACAATAAACCTGCCAGGCAGTGATGGTGCCACACCTTTAATCATGCACTTTAATCCCAGCACTGGGGAGGCAGAAGCAGGCTGATTTCTGAGTTCAAGGCCAGCCTGGTCTACAGAGTGAGTTCCAGGACAACCAAGGCTACACAGAGAAAGCCTATCAGAAAAACAAAAGAAAAACAAACCTGAACCAGCAAGATGACTTGGTGGTTAAAGGCCCTTGCCACTAGGCCTGACTTCCACACATGCTCTGTGGTGTGCACATGCATACACATACAAAAATTTACTAGTATGCACTCACATACATGTCTATAAACTGATATACTCTATACTGAACCATATCCCAAGTGCCTCCTTCTTGTTTTTTAAACTGATAATTTGTTGAAATAGTTGACCTAGGAATCTGCAACAGTGTCAGTCTGATAAAGCGTGTCTTCTTCAGAAAACTCGAATCTTCTGTGTGTGTGCACACATACATATGTACATGGGAAGGAGGCCAGAGGTCAATGTCAGGTGTTTCCCTCAACTGATCTCCATTGCTCCCCCCCTCTTTTTTTAAAGATTGTGTGTGTGTATGAGTTCTTTATCTTTAGTAGTCTGAATGAGATTGGCCACCACAGACTCACATATTTGAATGCTTAGTCACCAGGGAGTGGAACTATTTGAAAGGATTAGAATAATGAGAAGGAATATATCCTTTCCTTGTTGAACAAAGTTCACTGGAGGTGGGCTTTGAAGTTTCAAAAGCTCAGACCAGACTCTGTCTCCTTCTCCCTCTCTTTCTCTCTCTGCCTGCAGATCAGGATGTAAAACTCCTAGCTATTGCTCCAATGACTGTCTGCAGGAGGCCATGCTCCCCATCATGATAATGGACTAATCTTTTAATTAAATGTTTTCTCTTATAAAAGTTGCCTTAGTCATAGTAGCTAATCACAGTAATAGAACAATGACTAAGATACCACCTTATCATTTTTAGATTTACTTATTTTATGTATATAAGCCTACATAGATACATGCGCATTATGTGTGTGGCTGGTGCCCTCAAAGGTCAGAAAAAGGTACTGGGCCTCCTGGAACTAGATCATTCATGGTTGTGAGCCATCATATGGGTACTGGGAATTGAACTTCAGTTCTGCAAAAGCAACACATATTCTTAGCACTGAGTCATTTCTCCAGGCTCTCTCTCCACAAAATTTGGAGTTCACCAATTTGGCTAGATTGACTAGCTGGCCAGCAAGTCCCAGGAATCACACTGAGATGCAGGTATGCACTGCCACACCTAACTCTTTATGCTGGGGATTGAACTCAGGTCCTCATGCTTTCACAGCAAGGATTTTACTCACTGAGCTGTCTCCACAGCCCCTTACATCTTTTTACACTTAAGTGGTGCTGCTGTGGCGGAAAGGGAAAAAAAAATCTTAAGTCAATGATCCATGTGCATACTTGTATTATAAATGTTCTTTTACTTTACAAAAGCAAATATCAAAATATCAAAAGTAACTGTTTTAGATAAAATTTGCAGAAATAGTATTTTAATATTTTTAATAATATTGCAAAACAGGCCAACAAAGTTTACTTGTATTTCTATATAGGCACATGAATGTCAGGATTTTAAAGTAATAACTTTCTAGACAATTAAAATTACAAGGTAATTATATAACAGGTATAACTGAAGATTGCCAGTTAGAGTAATGTAGAAATACTAGGATATATTAATCTCAAAAAATCTTTAAGCCATAATGTTACTACAGAAAATTCAAAGAGAATAACATATGCATACATTCTATGTACTGTTAATGTCCACTCTCCAGTATGTAATCATTGAAGAACTCCACTGCATACTAGCAACAAATAACAGTGAGAAAAGGCAAATTTTATCTTAGCATTAATATATTAATTTTGTCACAAGAAAGATAAGAAATCCCTGAAGTTCTCTGCAGAAGCATTATTTTCCACACAGATCTTTTATTTATTTGTTTGTTTGTTTGTTTGTTTGTTTTTGAAACAGGGTTTCTCTATGTACCTTTAGCTGTCCTGTAACTTACTCTGTAGATTAGGCTGGCCTCAAACTCAAGAGATCAGCCTGCCTCTGCCTCCTGAGTGCTGGGACTATCACCACTTAGCTCAAGACCTGAAATGTTAAAGAAAGGATGGAGACAGCAGGCAAGAAACTATAGATTCCTGTTCTGCCTAACCCTCTCAGCTCCAGGCAGAGGCAAAGACCTCAGAAGAGCTGAAACACACACACACACAACTGGAGATAGTGCTTCTGACAGGCTATGAGAGGAAGGGCTCCTGCATGAAACTATAGAAAGCAGAACAGCTGGGGATTCAGCACACATAAGCCCAGGAAGCCCTTACAAAACTCCTGCTTGGAACTGTACCTAGGACTGGTCAAATTATTTTGATCAAAAATCTTCCTTAAGATTACATAATGGAAGAAAATCTTTACTAGTCACACTTAACACAGGAGATCAGCATCTAGAATATATAAAGAACTATAAAATTAAATATTTAAAATATCCAAACTGCCAATCAATAAATGAATTAAGAAACTGAACAGACAGTTCTCAAAAGAAGAACCATAAATGGCTAATATTAAAAGTATTCACCATCTTTAGCCACTAGGAAAATGTAAATTAAAACTATTTTGAGATCCTATCTCATCCCAGACAGATAGCTACCATCAAGAAAGCATCTAATGCTGTGTGTGTGTATGTGTGTGTGTGTGTGCATGCACACGCGCGCGCACTCTCCTTTAATCCTAGCACTTGGAAGTCAGAGGCAGGTGGCTCTCTGAGTTTGAGGCCAGCATGGTCTTCAGAGAGAGAGTTCCAGGACAGCCAGGGCTACACAGAGAAAGCACCCTTACTTACTGCTGTTGAGAGTAGAAATTAGAATGGAGATTTCTCAAAAGAATAAAATTACAGGGGCTGAAGAGATGGCCCCCAGGTTAAAAGGACATTTTGTTCTTTTCAAAGGATCTGAGAACAGTTCCCAGGACCCATATCGGATGGCTCAAAACCACCTGTAACTCCAGCTCCAGGAGATCTGACAACTTCTCTTGAATACTTCAGGTACCCACACACATGAATAAAACACTTAAATTAAAAATAGATCTTAAAAACAAAACTAAAAGGTTCATATGACCTCTTACACCACTCCTAGGATATACATAGGACGTCCACCACAGATAGTTGCATATCCGTGTTTACTGCTCCACCATTTACAACAACAAGAAAATGAAACAAGCCTAGGGTTTCATTCAAAGGGTGAATGGGTGTGATAAAGTGGCTTATATACACAATGGTATTTTATTCAGCAAAGAAGAAAAGGAAAATCATCCATTCACGGTAGTTCACGCCTGTAATTATAAATGCTTAGATGGCTGAAGTAGGAGTGTTGCTACAAGTTCAACACAACCTTGGGCTACACAGTATGTTCTACCTTAGTTTGGGCTAAAGAATGAGACTGTGGCTCAAAAGACAAAAAGAAAAACAGTTGCAGGAAACCATGTTCTCTCCTCGGCAGATCCTAGTTCTAATTTGTGTGTATGTGTGCACTTACATACATGTGTGCATGTACATATTGGGGGGACTTCTGAGGACAAATATAGGTTGTAAAACTAGAAAGGGGACACATAAGGGCCAAAAGAAGGCCTTAAGAAAAGGGGTTCTTTGTTTTGTTTTGTTTTTTCAAGATAGGGTTTCTCTATGTAGCCTTGGCTGTCCTGGACTTACTTTATAAACCAGGCTGCCCTCAAACTCACAGAGATCCACCTGCCTCTGCTTCCCTGAGTGCTGAAATCACAGTCATGCAGCACTGCACCTGGCTGCTGCTAAAGGGTTCTTAAAAGGAGAATAATAAAATACTTGTATTCTGAGCTGGGCAATGGTGGCACATGACCTTAATCACAGCACTTGGAAGGCAGAGGCAGGCAGATTTCTGTGAATTCCAGGCCAGCCAGGGCTATATAGAAAAACCCTGTTTTGAAAAAACAAAACAAAACAAAGAATACACATAATTTGAAAGTGGAAAAGAAACTACTGGCAGTAGGAGGGGTACAAACCCAGAGGTGGAAAGAGAATGGGAGGATCAATAAAAACAAAGTACATATAAAAATATCATAATGAAGCCATGTTAATTAAAAGATAAACAAATAAGCAGCTGGAGAGATGGCTCAACTTTGAGAGCATTTACAGCTCTTCCAAAGGACCTGAGGTTAGTTCCCAGCACCTACATTATGTGGCTTGACACCTGTAACTCCAGGTCCAGGAGACCCAATACTTCTGGCCTCCTCACATACCTGCACTCATATGCACAAACACACATTTACACATTTTTTTTATGTATCTTTAAAAACAGATAAAGAAAAAAAAAATTCTTTTCTCCTATCCCTAATAGTACCTTAGTTAAGAGGGAATTAAGGGACAAATTTAAACTCCTTAAAATTGTAGGTTATTTCTAGTATCTGTATTTAATTTTTCTAGAGAAAATAAGTTTTGGTGGTAAGACATTCTAGTCTTACCATCTGCATGCCATTGAAAAAACTACTAAGGGTCCTCTTCCTCCTCACAAGTCTCCTGAGTCTTGTGCCTTCTCCTTCCCTTAACAAGCCCTTAATTTTCCTCCTCTCATTGCATACAAATATATATTCCTGACAGACCCCACTACCATAAAAAGGTCTAAGTGTAATTTAGAAAGATATGCTCAAAATGTATTATATACATGTATAAAATTGTTAGAGAATAAATTTTACAAATTGTAATGGTACAAGCATAAACATACTAGAAATGAATAAAGCCAGGCATCCTGGCGCTCACCTTCAATCCTAGCACGTGAGAGGCAGAGGCAGGCAGGTCTGCATCAATCTGAGGCCAGTGTGGTCTACAAAGCAAGTCCAGGCCAAGGGAAGACCTTGTCTCCAAAAGAGCAGTAACAACAACAATGAAAAGACCATAAAGAGAAGTAGGGGTGCCAAGTAAAACACTGAAGCCCTTTAAGCAGACTTGGATGGAAAACAAGATTAAAACAGGAACAGGTTAGATGGACATTATATAATTACAACTATAAAACAAATCCATCATAGATTGAAGAAGTAAGCCGAAGAGAATGTTGGCAAAATGTGGTTTTCATATATATGAGAATAGCTTTCATATATATGAAATTTATGAAGATGTTTTAAAAATGTCGGAAAAAGTCAAAATACGTGTAATTCAAGCCCCAGCCATGAGGTCTCCAAATAGCCTCTGGGAAGGTGCTTCTTTGAAGTGCTGGAGAGGTGCAGCAGGATAACCAACCCAGCCCGTGTCTGCTCCCCATGCACCTGAATTTCTAGACAGGGCTACTGATGCCTGCAGTTCTTACCAAGGGTTTCCACCGGCTTGTTTTTCCAATAACAACCTTTTTTCATCTTCTGAAAACTGTAAGTCTAGTTCAAAAGAGTTAGTGTCCAAATCATGGATGTACTGCTCTATGTTGCTGCCCGACCTCTGGGGCAGGCTGGCATCCACCGCAGACAAAGAGTGGGAAGAGGAGGAGGATGACACCTGCATGCAGCCAAACTGGCTCAGGAGATTGTCGTACTGCAGGGAAGGAGAAGAAAGAAGTACCTTAATTTGTCTTTAAGGCCAAAGACCCCTCCCACATTGCCTGGACCCCATAAGCCACTCACAACCTATAAGCTTACATACACTTCAAAGGCAGAGGAACTACCTATCCCTTTTGGTGTACATAGATTCTTTCATTGGCCACTGGACCAAGGCAAGGCTGGGCCTTTAGCTACAAGTTCTTCCTCTGATAGAAACAGAGGTCAGAGAGGGGGTATACCACACCCTTCACCGCCAGGGAGGAGGAACCTGGGACTCTTACCAAGCACAGCACCCTAAGTCAGGAATAGAGCATCTAGCTCCTAGCATGGAAATCAGTGATTGATCCGGTACACTTCTCTTTTAGTCCTGGGGTCTCAGGTTTTAGAGTCACTGCATAGTTTTATTTAACTTATAACATTTGGTTTTTTTTTAATTATTCTTTTAAAAAGGCAAGCCAGTGTTGACACAGAAAGCAGAACATGCCACATAGCCTACAGTCTAGCACACTCCCAGACAATGACAGGGCCAAAGATTTTCGAGCATAGATGAAGGTAGGTATGAGCCCTGTCTTCCATACCCTGAGTCTCCAGAAACAGAGGCCTGGCTACTACTCCAGAGATCATCCCCTATCCCCTGCAGATTCTACAAGTGCCATGTCCATCCTTGCTGCTACCCAGTGGCTCTCTGCAAAGTTTATGCTTGCATAGCCTCAGAGTAGTCACAGCTCCATCTTGCTGACTTCAGATTCACACCCTAACACTGGCTCTACTTCCTCTGTAAAGGTTCCCCAGCAAGAGGAAAGATGTCTCTGCATCAGTTTACACAGATGGATACCACACTTCAGAGAGAGGGTTGTCCCCACAAGAACTTTCAGTGTCAGGAGGTGGCTTCAATTTCTGATACAAACTGAAGCTCAGAGTCACATTCCTCTGGCTAACATTGAATTTAAAACCAGCCCAAAGCTGCCTCTCCACAGCACTGAGCTGCTCCAACCATGTACTTTCAGAGCACACTTCCTCTGTCCCAGCACTCCCCAGGCCCAGTCTCAATGTCCAAAGATGAACTTTGGTACAGGAAACTGCCTAGATGTTTACAAAGCCTTTAAACCACACTAGAAGTGCTGAGCAGCCACCAACAAAACCAAGTTGCTGCCACTCAGAACCAGATTATACAGGTTCAAGTCAAAACTTTCAATAAAAAAAGCCATGTCCTCAACAGTGCAGAGAAGGCCTGCAGAGTTGTTTAGATGCATATAATATACATGTACAAATGCACAAGATTGGCTGCTGAGATGAAAGACAATGGAGTTGAAGCAGTCCTTAAGAACAGCTGCCCTTGGGAGTGATTGGAAGAAGGCACAGAGGCCATAGGCTGAAAGACTGCCTTCCATTCCTGGTTAATTTATGAAGGGATGACTGTCCTAGTAGAGGACACTAAGGCTTCCATCAGCCTCCTACCCCTGACATGAACCAAAAAGACACTACTCTTATAAGCATTAAAAGGCTTTTGGGGCAGGAGCAGGAACTCCTGGCTCAGGGCTTACGTTTTGTGCAGTGACCATACTTATGCAGAAACTAGCCAACGTCAGCATAGACGCATTTGAGTTTCATTCCTTACAAGTAAGTCTAGGCACAAAGAACATTTTAGGAGAAAATGAGGATATGCCAAACAGCAAGTAAAAGACAGAGGATTCCTTGATCTCTTAAGAGGGGAAAACAGCAATGTCTTTAACTTAGCTTTAGAAGACCCTCTGTTTGGGTTTTTGTTTTGTTTTGTACTAAGACAGTGCACCTTTGTAGCTAGAGTGACCATGAACTTTCAATCTTTGTATTTACTATTTTATGTACTTGGAACTTTTGCTTGTGTGTGTGTGGGGGGGTGTAGAGAGAGAGAGAGATCTGGAAGGAAGGATGGAAGGAAGGAAGGAAGGAAGGAAGGAAGGAAGGAAGGAAGGAAGGA